CTCCAGCACACTTCTGGATCACCACGGTTCCCAGCAGTCAGGTGAAACGCAGGACATCTCCGTGCCCCAGCTGGCTGGCCAGCACCTCCTGCTCAGCCGCTGGGTGCAGGGCTGCTGCTTCTCAGCTCTCTGGCAGCCCTAGGCTCATGCCCCTGCATTGTGTCGCCCCCTGTCTGTGGCTCACAGTCATGCTGACGCAGCCCTGCCCAATCCCAGTACCACTGCTCGTCTACACTCCCCCCCCCCCACACAGTCCCTAGGAGCCGCCAGAGCACTTGCAGTCACGATGGTCACAGCCCCTGGCAGTGTCTGTCCGCGTGGTAGTCTGGTTTTGATGTGTTGACCGAGGCTGGTTTAGTTGGCCCTTGGAAAGCAGGTTCCTTGGGGGTAATTTCTTCCTCTCAGCCATTTTCATTTTGTTGTGTGTCTCAACCTAGTCATAGCTGCTTTATGTGGGACCGTCCCCTTCCCTTCGGGGATGAGCTTGGAAAGGCCCCAGACAGCTGTGTCACCACACGTCAAGTCCAGGCAGCTCTGGCTGCGGGGGAGTGTTGCACCTACCGTTCCACCGCCCCTCCCAGGGGGTGGCCCTGTGGTGTCCTCTGCTCTCCTGACAGTCTAAATGAGTCCGTATCTGAGTTTATGCATGAGGACCGAGTCTGCAGAACTCGTATGCAGGCCCTGACAGGTGCTCCATGCCTCTGGTCGCATGGGGGAATTGGGTCCTGTCAGGGGACACGTCGCCTGCAGCTAGACCTCCTCTGGCCCTCCAGGCTGGGCCATTCTGGGCTTCAGCTTCTCAGCTAGATTCTGAACAACTTGGGAGACAGTAGTGTTGTGTGTAAACTCAGTGTTGTAACACTTGATACATCTCTCTTTCAGGTGTCTCTGGGTTCCACTGAGACTGTATTAGGCTGAAATTCGTGGGGAGAGGAATAACTTCTCTGTAAAATGCATGTCTGAGTTACTGGTATGGTGGCATTAATGTCAGCTCTTCCTGAGCGTCTTAGGAAGGGCTCATTCTTAAAGAAAAGCAGGGCCCTTATCAGAGCTTTGTATTCCCTGGACTGAAGTTTGACATCTCCAAAAATTCATGCAAATTCTACTTGCTTTTCTAGTATAGTTGGATCCATTCTTGTGAAAAGACCAACTGCATGGATTTAACACTAGCACCATCTGCATTAACAAAAAGAATTTGTGGCGTAGGTTATCCAAAATAAAAGAATAATACCAGACAGCTTTCTGTTATTCCCCTTGAAGACGAGGCTGGACTTGGGGGAGTCTCAGCACTCCGAGAAAAGAAGTTGCTGTGTCAGGAGGAACTGGAGAGCTGCGGTGACAACACACCTGGGCTCTGTTGGTGGGGGGGGGGGGGGGCCCCGGCCCGGGGCGGGGGCGGGGCCGAACATATAGTCGCCGGGCCGCCGAGCCCGACGTGCGGGCCATGGAGGCCGGGAGCTGCCGCTACCAGTTTCGGATTGCGCTGCTGGGGGACGCGGCCG